ACTTTGTCATTTGCTTATTCAATGTATCAACAGAATAATAACATAATGACAAATAATTATTATTTATTTTGTGTTATAACATATAATATATTTAAATACATTTTATTTCATTAATTGCACTGTGTAATGAAATAATGTGACAAATTTTAATAGTCTAAACTAGCATAATTAGTTAGGTATACATAACACAGACTATCATTAGTAATACAATTTCAATATAATTTGCACAATATTATTATTAATAAATTATTATATTAATTTTACGTGTGCAAAACATGTTTACAAATATAGTACATATGTACGAGTGTACAAATTGGTGTTAACATACTCTGTGAAATTATCATACTATATAAAAAAATGAATTATTAAATGTTAAGTCTATATACAGTCTACTATAATTTTAACATTAACCTGAATAATATAAGATTTAATTATTTTAAAATATTTTTTTATAAACTTTAATATTATATTATTCATATATTTCAATTGTTTATAGTTTTATTTAAAATAAATTAATGATTATGTCTCACGGCGCCAACTGTAACGTATCAACTACTCGTAGAGGTTGCACCGTGCAACAATATTTACAAATAATAAATAAATAAAAATCAGTTAATCGCTGGTCACTCGCGCTTACAGACCATTGTTGTGACTCATAACTAAAGTAGCAAAAAATTGGTCTAATTGTTGCGCGCGATCAGTATTAATAGCGTTTTAAAGTTTAGTTTTCGGTTTTAATTGAAAAATATATAGAAATTACAGTTTTGGTAAATAAAATATAAATCATTAGTGAAGTCATTTATTAATTTTACTGAATATCCGCAATATATAGTGAATCTTTTTCATTCACATTAAAACATTGAGTTTTCGGTTTAGAAACTTATCTTGATGGTCAATTGAATTTAAGAGATTGCGTATATATCGCAAAAATTCAACAACTTTTAACAACTGTATCAAAGACTTAGTTTTTATTTACAAAAGCTATATTTTTTTATCACATTCATCGCTAAATTTGAAACAAATGGCTAAGATATTTTTTAATTAAACTGAAAACTAAGCCTAGTAACTCTATTAATTTTGGTTTCGCGCAACAATTAAGCTGATTTTTTTGCTACTCTACTCATAACAACATCTAAATTAAATTAAATGAATTAATTTTTCAGTTTTTTATTGATAATCTTTATAAATTATTTTCTTAAAATTTATATTACAAAAATCGTATTCAAATTACGTAATTAATTATAAATAACTGTAATGTATACAATATAATTTATAATATTGAATAATTTTATTTATTAATAAATGGACAAAATATATTTATTTTTAATATTTAAATTTAAACTTAAAATATGATTTCAATACGTTAAATAATGACACTTAATTAAGCCGGTTGGAAAACTCATAAATCTTCAAAAATAACAGGGCAATCAAAGTGATGATCTGTAAAAATAAAAATAAAAAATTTTACAAAGCTCATATTAGGTAAACTTAAAACTTTACTTCATAACCGCGAAAACTATTGATAATAATTAGTTTCCAACAGAAGAGTCCAACCTTTTTACGTGCTATACGTGCGGTTAAGTTTGACAACTAAAAAATACACGAATAAATAAATAATCATGCACATTACAAATATCAGGGCAGTCTAAAATGTTTAGCAAAATTTTCAATTATACTACAAATTGTAGTCCAGAGAGATGTCCACCAAAATACTGGTCTGCCATAAGTTGCACTCACGATAAGATCAGAAGTTTAATTGTTTTAAAATGCAGTATGAAAATATTAAGCACTCAAATGCATGCAATGAAAGCTGAGCCTTTCAATTTGATTACAATTAAACGCGAAAATGACAAACAATTTATATGTGACAGTCATTATACTGGTCCACAGAAAGTAATATTTAATGATAAGACTCATTGTGTAAAACCTCTAAGACAATGCTAATAATGAGTCAAATATATTTCTCGTTGAAAATAAATAAAACTGCAATTTGACTAACTCAGTTAAGTAGTAGAGACTACTGGGTTAAGGGGCAGTGTGTTGAAAGAGAACACAGAATGTACTCCGATATAGTACAGGTAAAACAGGCGCAACTTTACAATTACATCTATTGTTCTGGTTTTAACATTACTATATATGGGAATGATATTAGTTGTGGGAATGAAGTGATTGTTTTGCCGTCTAATCAGTTTTCCATTGGAAATCTCACTTATAAGACTCAGTCATTCAATATGCATTCAGAGTTGCAGTTTATTCCCAGTTGGAGTTATGCCATAAGTCATGCTAAACCCTAAATTGCGTGAAAATGTTTTGGATAACTATTTCGGTAAACTGGAGAATGAGATCAACGCATTGGACGCTAACACTATACTAACCGATAATCAAATTCAGTATCATTTCTATGGAAATGTTATATTGATTGCATGTTTACTAACAATCATATGCATTGGAATGTATTGTTGGAAAATACACTCAAACCGCACCGCAAATATTGCTAACAATAACCACAATTTGAATGAAATAAATGTTATTCAAACTGAACGCTTAGTCCCTGAAAGCTCGCAAACAAATGCAAAACAATTGCTAACTTCAGATAAAACTGAAACCAAAATCATATTATCAATGAATAAATAGTTTGCCATTCAATTGATATATTCATTCACTGAATACAGTATACAGTATTCACAACATTTGCCACAAACACTACATTCACAACTTATGTCTATGAATATAAACTTATATTTAAAATAATTTGTATTATTTTGTTTTGAAACTTATTTTAACTTATATTTTATATACATTTGAGACACAATGAATAGAAAGCCTGAGACGCAACACAAACACCCAAAACAGTCATTTCAATAAAAATGACACAAAAATAGACTCAATGTTGCGAACAACGTATGGCATCAATAGAGACATCGACCGCATGATTGGGACACAAAATGAAGCAACAGTTCCACAAAATATCACATTTGGATAAATTGGATGTCATCTCAAAGACATTAATTGAAATACGAGACAAACTCGAAATCGTTGGACAGCAAAAGGGCTCAACACTGTCCACAATGACCACAACCGGACAACCCGTACATGTCATGGAAATGCCATCAATTCATTCAAACATATTAAACACAATTCCTATCAAATATGTGTATCCTATGAATAACATGTTTAGAAACTAAGTTTAAATACTTTACCTATAATAACATTTTGATTCATTTTAACAATTTTATAATGATATTTTATAACAATTCATTTATATTACTTAAGTATTTAATCACACAATTTGTATCATTATAATTTGATATTTGATTTATTAATGATTATTTTGCATTTTTATATTCATTTTGATTGTGAATTTATTATGCTTTTATTTTACTTATGAATTAATTTTGTATTTTGATTTTTGTTCAAATAATTTGCAACAAATTATTTATCTGAGGAGGAGGTGAATGTCATGCCTGTGAGTATAATATGAGTTTTCAACTAAAACTTATTTCCAAAACAGTCACCTTTTTGCCCCTAAGCTAATGTCAACCATCAGAATATCAACCACTGATTGTAAACCCTATTTGCATCCAAAACCCAAAGCTAAGACCCTTTTATGACCCCTTTTCCCATGCGATACAGTATCGACAGCACCGGTATGTTTTACACTCTCTCTCCGCACCACTAACTGAACAGTTTGTTCAGGAATTTGTATTTGAATTCTTTCTTATACCGTTTACACAAAAATAAACGTTTTCAAAATTATTAGTTTTGTTCTTATTTTTTAGTTTGATTTTTGTTTTATATTATAATATCACTGAATATACCTAAAGAACCCGAAGTCAACTGATCCAACCCTCACCCCTCACCATCTTTGCATGACATACTCTAGTACTGTACTACACAATCGCTACAATATAAATGACCGCCATTTCTAAACCACAATAGTTAGCAATGATCTGTAAACTGTAATCTTGTCTCTAATTATTGTCTAATAAGAGTATGTATAAATAACCTCGGTGTGATTGAAATTAATTTAAAATTTATTGTAATTTTCACTAAAGGTCAATAAATGTGTTTTAAGGTCACAATATAGAAACAAGGTCTTAATACACTTCATTTGAGTTTATTTTTTGTTCCTGAGTTGAATGAGTCAAATTTTGAATATTTGTAGGTCAAATGTCCCGTAGGTCAAATGACCCAAGACCATGTGATATATTTATTCAAAATCAGGTTTATATATAGGATATGAATTTAAATATTTTTCACTGCTTTCGAGTAAAGTATAAAACTTAATAAAGTTCAATATAATTAGCATACATTATACATAACTAAGTTTATGGCTATTTAGAAACAAATTAAATAAATATTATTGTTTATCAATGAATAAATATTTATCATTCAATATACAATGTCTGCTACTTATATTAAACTTTATTAAGTTTTATACTTTACTCGAAAGCAGTGAAAAAGATTTAAATTCTATGCTTTCAAAGGGCTGATCAAAGCCTATGTGTTAACTTTTAAATTAATTTTAAAATAGTAAAATATTTCTTTAGCGCGACAAATTAACAAGGTATATTCTACATGGTCCAAACAACTATTTTAATCACAAATTACAATTTAACTGGATAATTGGTAATATAGAAGGTTTTTACCGGCGATTCCGGAGGGACAAGGCGGTATATGAAATCCTTATAAGTGCCCGAGACATGCCCTAAAAGACACGCTCCGGGGAAGGTGTCGTACGTACGTAAGCAACACTATCTCTGAGCCAGATGTGTCCGATTTATTATTCACAAATATTGTTTCATTTTTTTCATTTATGGGCTAAACTTTTGTTATTTTGTCTATTGCAAACCATATTTCTAATTAGTAATTGCATACATTTTTAAGCCCATAAATGACCCAAAAATGTAACAATATTTGTGAAAGGTAAATCGGACACATCTGGACTCAATAGTCAGGACTGATCTGTTTCCGTGCTTTCTATGATATTTGATTAGATTATGAATTCATTGGTCACAACGTCTTCGGATGGACTCAATCGACGTGAAAGAGTTGTCAATAGGAATGGCGACACAAATGAGGAGAACGTGTCTCGAGTGGTGTCTCAAGAAGTGTCGCCCGAAAGCACACAAAACCAGAGTATTATGAAGCGAGTGGTGAGTCTAATGGCACTCTCGATGGCTATTCTTGTAGTGGTTTACTACACGACTCAATGCAATGACACCAAAGAACTGGTGATGGCTTCCGTCACTCAAACCATAACGGGTTCACCGATCGGACAGCAAGTCATGTGTTCTCAAGACTATACCGAAGACAGAGTTCGGTTCCCGTCGTGTGCGCCTCAAAGGTGCGGACGTTTTGTGTCCGATTCGGTGGTCACGGAATCGGAGGCCAAACAGTTGTTGTCAGTCGCGAAGAAAGGCCTATCATTGGGCGGCTCTTCGGGCGGCAACTCTTTCCTCAGCTTACATTCGGGCAGACTTTCGGTGGGCACTAATTCGGTGAATATCTATAAACTCATTGAACGTCAACAACAAAAGGAAGAGGACCTCAAAGAGCTGTTCACCGAAAACGACTTAGAAGTCTACAGAACGGTGTCGAACAGAATCCGCGAAACGATTGCCACTCATTTCGGCGTCCCTTCGGCGCGACTATACTTAACGCCAACCAATTTCTTCCGCCGAAATACGGCAAAGAGTCCCCAAAGCAAAGGCGACAAGTATTGGGTCCGACACGTGGACAACAGGAACTTAAAGGACCTTCAGTTCAATTCAGTGCTCTATTTGTCGACATATGGCGCGGACTTCTCGGGCGGACGCTTTATATTCACGGATCAGATGTCGAACCAAACAATTGAGCCTAAGTTGGGACGACTCTCGGGGTTCACGTGTGGCTCAGAAAACGAGCACTTCTTCGAGAGGGTCACCTCTGGGACCCGATATGCTCTGGTTGTTGGCCTCACGTGTGACCCTCAGGCCGCCGCCAAAGACCTACGGATTGTTAGACCGCAGACATGCGCTCAACTATTTTGTTATTTATATAACGTAGGCTGTCCAACCTTATATTTAGACTAAAGTGAATATAATGCCATTTAACAACTAAATTAATTAGTAAAATCCAAATCTTTGTATTTAATTTAATTGAAATATTTTTGCTTTTATTAAATAATTATTATTGTGAAGTGAACGACAAGGAATAGTTAATTGACTTTACTTATAAGTTACTTATTTTATTAGGATTACGGCTAAACATTATGTCATTCTCTTAAACGGATAACTTAATCCTTAATCCCTCTTTAGGGATTAATAGCCCCAACTTACGGGTTTTTAAAATATACTACTGTCCGAGGTGAAAGTCCGTTAGTAGAGAAATATTCTACAAGGCTTTACAGTATACAATATTATCACTATATACACAGTTTAATTGATAGTGAATAATTAAAATAAAAATTTTAAAGGTAATGCTATTTTTTATGTAAGTGTTTATATTTGTTTAAAAGTTTATCAACTAGGGTTGCCAAACCTCCAGTTTGGCCTGGAGTCTCCAGGAAGTCTTAAGTTGGGAACATCGAGGCAAGAATCTCGATTTAGTGGTTTAATTGTTATGATTAGTTAGCCAGTAATACAATTAACATTTTGAATTGACTAAACTTGGCGAATCACGTAAATTAGCCTGCTAAATTTTCGTTTAACTATCGCTGACATCCTCATTTTGTAATTGACATAACATAGGTTTTATGGATTGTACATAAGTTGAATTGTGTAATTGTATGAGACTGCTTTATGCATTTAAACAAGATAATTTTAGCAATAATTACCGATATACAGTATGTACACAAAATAATAGTATGAAAGTATATACAATTAAATTACATTAGGATTTTACTTCATTTTTCATAAATTCCTCTAAACTCGCTAAATTTTCATATATCTGTATCTTGGTCATTTTTATTGCGATTTTTAAACACCATGTCAAGGGATTACAAATTTTCAATATAATTTGGTGAAATTAACAAAATAAAATAAGCTTATTAAATGATATATAAATATGTTAAAAATT